GTCACACCAGATAATGAAAGCAAAGGTTCACATATCTGCCACTCACAAATATGTAATATTGGAATATTTTCCTCAATAAACAAATGACCAAGTATTATATTTGTGTCTTGTTTAACTGGGTTCTCTTGATCTACTTTTAGGACTTGTGTAAAGTTTTAGGTCATATTTATGCAGACATATAGAAAATTATAAAGGATTCACAACTTTACACCACTGCACAAGTACAGCAGAAAACTGTGCAACACCCCCCCCCCCCCCCCCCCCCCCACCTATACACACACATAGTGATGCAAGGACACAGATGGCTGTTGCCCAAGCCCTGTTATTAACACATGAGCACACGCTTGCAGCTAACCCAGATATATAGACATGCCATGTGTTCTTTGTTCACATTTGGGTTTCACAAGTGGAACATGAAAAGATACATATTCATATAAAAATGAGGAAGAGCAGCCCGAAGGTTTTAAATGCAGGATTTATACAAATGGAGGCAGACATTTCAGCAAGGAGTACGTTGCTTCATTTGATCCCTCACTTACAATCTTAACTCTGTGTCCTGGCATGGCTGTGATGTCCCAGGTGCACTCCTTCCGGCTGGGATACTTGTCAGGCCAGTTGGGGCTGCTCAGGGTCCCGCTGGAACTGTGGATCTTATGTTCACATTCAGCTAAAACACAAAAACACACACATATAGGAAGGAAGTCAAAACCCTGGCTGTACGGGAAAAGGTCAGAGGAAATGGAAAGGAAACAGGAAGGAGAGAAACAAGAGAACCAAAGGAGACAGAAAGGATTTCAAAGAAGCACATTCTGGTCACAAGTTCAGAGTAAATTTCACTTGAAAAGCATCCACACATGTACTCTGCAACCGTTTTGATCAAGGTGAATTTCTGCACAATTTTACTTTTTTGTATTATTACAGACTACACTCAACAACCAGAAGAATTAAACAAAAAATATTTTAGTTTACATGTCTTGTTTGTTGATGGTTTAACTTTAATTAAAAAAAAAAAAAAAACAGAAATTTATTCTGACAGAACTCTGCAGGAAGCCAGCCCATCTTCATCCTAACAACAAAGCACTCAGTAGCAGACAACACAATAGGGAGAGAGAAGTGGGTGAAGACTCTGTCTGACGGACAGCTCACCCAGCTGGAGACAGAGATCCTTGCAGGGGACTGAACTTTGCGGTTGCGCCAAGAAGAATTCCTCTGGTGGAGATGATTACAGCTACACAATCAACCATCCGCAACAACAAAATGTCAGAGTTTTAAGCAGAACAACTTAGTTTCAGCCTCAGTTAGAACAAACCACCACCTTCCAACATCAGCAGAGAGGAGAGGAACGTGCTCACCACTCTCAGCAAGGACAAGAACATCATCATCCTCCCAGCAGACAAAGGAGGGTGCACAGTGATTTTGAACCGGAAAGACTATCATGAGAAAGTTATGACACTCCTTAGTGACTTAACCACTTATGAGTCGCTGGAAAGAGATCCAGGAAGTGGCTACAAGAAGAAGTTGATAGAATCCCTGAAACGTTTGGAGCAGAACCAGACTATTGACTGTATTCTGTACCACAGACATGTACAGAGTACATGTGTGTGAATGAGAGGGAGGCTGGTGGAACAGTGAGGCTATAGCAGAGGTCACAAAGGTGCAGGACTTCAAGTACTTGGGGTCCACTGTCCAGGAAAATTGGGAGTGTGGTAAAGAGGTGAAAAAGAGAGTGGCAGGATGGAGTGGATAGAAAAAAGTTTCAGGAGTGAATTGATACAAAAGGGTGTCAGCAAAGGTCAAAGTAAAGTTTACAAGACAGTGGTGAGACCAGCTATGTTGTATGGTCTGGAGACAGAGGCACTGACAAAAAGACAGGAGAAAGAACTGGAAGTTGCAGAAATGAATATGTTCAGGTTCTCCTTAGGAGTGACAAGGATGGAAGATTAGGATGAGATCATCAGAGGTACAGCACAGGATGAACAATTGGGAGGCCAGACTGAGATGGTGTGGACAAGTCCTGAGGAAGGACAGTGGGTATATTGGCAGAGCAGCTGCCAGGAAAAAGACAAAAAGGAAGGCCAAAGAGAAGATATATGGATGCAGTTAGAGAGGACATGGAGGTAGTTGGAGTGGGGACAGAATATGCAGAGGACAGAGTGAGATAGGAGGATGACTCGATGTGGCAACTCCTGAAGAGGGAAAATTCAAAAGAAGAAAGAAGACTGTACACAGGGGAGGCCACACCTAGTCTGTATGGTTTACGCAAAATTCACAAACAAGGTGTACCTTTAAGACCAATCGTTAACATGATTAATTCTGTTACTATGTTTCTAAATGGGCAGCACGGTGGCGCAACTGGTAGAGCTGCTGCCTCTCAGCGAACAGGTCCCTGGTTCAAACCCCGGTCCAGGGCCCTTCTGGGTGGAGTTTGCATGTTCTCTCCGTGCATGCGTGGGTTTTCTCCGGGTCCTCCGGTTTCCTCCGGACAGACCAAAAACATGCATGTTAGGCTGATTGGTAACTCTAAATTGTCCCTAGGTGTGAGTGAGAGAGTGAATGGTCGTTTGTCTCTATGTGGCCCTGTGATGGACTTGCGACCCACCCAGTACCCCGCCCCTCGCACAGTGATTGCTGGACATGGGCACCAGCGACCCCCGTGACCCAAAATGGAATAAACGGGTAAAGAAAATGGATGGATGGATGGTAAAGAAAATGGATGGATGGATGGATGTTTCTAAATATCTGGCATTTGTACTCATCCCTTTAGTTGGCAGCTCAGAACACCACATACAGAACACCATGGACTTTATGGATAAGGTGAGGGATGTCATCATGGAGACTGATGAAACAATGGTCTCTTTTGATGTCACATCACTCTTTACGTGCATTCCTGTTGATGATGCAGTAGAGGTGGTCAGTTTAAGATTAAAATCAGACACCACTCTGAGCAGCAGGACCACGCTTTCCACAGAACAACTGTGTCAACTCTTGAAACTGTGCCTGCAGTCAACCTACTTCACATATGGGGAGCAATATTATAGGCAGAAACATGGGTGTGCTATGAGGTCTCCAGTTTCTCCTATTGTTGCCAACCTGTACATGGAGGAGGTAGAAAAGAGAGCCTTGACATCCTTTTCAGGGCCACCACCAAGTCATTGGTTCAGGTATGTTGACGACACCTGGGTTAAAATTAAATCTCAGGAAGTCCAACATTTTACTGATCACATCAACTCTGTGAATAAATATATCAACCTCACATAAGAAGTGTCATAGTCTGTGTGTTTTCTTCAGTTATGTTAGTTTATTTCTTCTTGTGGCTTATGGTTTATTTCTCTGTCCTTTGAGTTTTGGTTCAGCCCCCCATGTTTCTGTGTCACTCCTCACTCTCACAGTCAGCTTCACCAGTTCTTCAGTCAGTAATCACTCACACCTGTTTCTAATTAGCAATTATCCATGGTGTTGTCCCTTTCCACTCTCCCTCATCTCTACTTAAACCAGTTCTTATCAACACTCCAACAGCGACTCATTGTCTTGGCTCCCTGCCAGATGTCCCGGTCTGCCTTCTTGTGCTCCTTTGTGTAGTGTTGCAGTACTCGAGACTGGGTCTGGTTTTGGTTTTGGTCTTGAGACTTTTTGATGGTCTTGGTCTTGTCTCGGACTCGACCGCATTTGGTCTCAGCCTTGTCTCGGTCTCGGACGTTGAGGACTCGGGATTTTATTTCAAAACCAGTCAAGACCACAACTGTGGAAATATCATTAAATTGCCAGAATACTGTCCAGTTTATTTGTTAACATCTTTGTTTTTATTGGATGCAAAACGTACTGATTCAAATCCAAGTGATAACGTGACTCATTGCTAAATAAATGTTTTTGTTACTGCTGTCACGCCCACTCCCTTTCACTCGCATGTGGTTCTGTACCAACAGAACAATACAGACAACAGAACGCAACATCGCAACCAGGGGTGAAAGTAAGCCAGTACGGTCCAGTACTGCGTACCACTCAAATATTTTGCACCGATACATAGTATCTGGAAGAGAGGTGAGCGTCTGTCTGCTGTAAAGCCTCATTCAGAACCAGTCATGGCTGCACTTAGGGTCAGAATAGATTTGCTAGCAATAAGCAGTCTAAAACACGACTTAATCAGTTAATAAATAGCTTCTTTTTTTCTAATTTCAAATTGTTTCTGAACTGTTTGTGCTCTGCTGGAGCCTCGTTTCTTTTACCACAGTGAAGTTAGTTTTACGTTAGACATTCGAGCTTCAGCGGTGTCTTCCTCTCGTTCGATCCGAAGCAGGCAGTCTGATTTCAGTCAGCTGTGCTCAGTCTGCCCCTCCTCCAAGATGTAAAGGTTTGCTTAGGAACCATCAACAAATTACAGAATCAAACACTCTTCAGAAAGAAAAATTAATATATTTTACATCCTTTGATCCACTGATACAAAACTAATGTTAAAGTACTCTAACAGACCTGACACACAAGACATCATTTATTTTGCATTTTAAAGCATTTTCCAATTAGTTACTGAGCGAAAACCTCGATTTTTGGACAAATAAATCATGTAAAATTAGAAAATGCTGTAAAATGAGGAAAAAAATGAGGGTGCCTCGTCTGTCAGGTCTAGTAGATTAGTTTAACATACGTGTTGTGTCAGTGGGTCACATGACATGAAAATTATTGTGCAAAAACCACTGAATGGCTTCTTGGTCGTCGAAGCCTGCTGGATCTTCAAATGATCCAATCCCAGCTTGTCTTTTTAAAGAGGTTTTTTCCACTGTGTCCAAAATTATAAATGGCAGCTTGGCAAATGGACAGGTACCGGCAAGTTTTAAACATGCAGTTGTGACACCACAGATTAAAAACCGTGGCCTGGACTGCACAGTAATGTCAAATTTTAGAGAAAATTGTTACTAAGCAATTAGCTTTTCTTTTGATACATATTCAGTTATTTTCAATGAACTTAAGCTAGAAACTTTCCATAAATATCACATATGAGCTACGTGCAGCAGTCTGAAATATCTGGAGAGTGCTTGAATCACAACATATGAGCACGGCTCAGCTATAACAGAAGGGGGACAAAATAAACTCAAATTGTAGTAATGCGCTCCATAAAAACAGGCTGCTGACTGCAGCATGCTGACAGCTACTTATTTCTAGTTGAAGTTGGAGTCTCAATGGTGACAGCAGCCTCAGTTAAAAAGCCTCAGAAAACTTTATCAAAGGCAGCCGTCACAGTCACATGTGGCATCTGAGAGCATATGCTGTGAGTTAGATGAATGCCATAGATTTATAGGAAGGCTAAAGGCACGCTTAAGACTTATGGTTATGTGTCTGAGCGACTGCTTTCGCTTCTCAAATATGGCAAACCCATGCAAACAATAACATAAATATGGTTAAAAGAAAATCATATTACTAGGTACAGCTGTCCTCTTCTACCTTCACAATTACTAAAGAAAATGTTTCTTTTTTTTTTACCGTTTTGTAAGCCAACAAAATATATATTTGTTTGGGTCAATGCCAATGTTTAGTGTTATATTATTAAGTTACCTGCTTATGTAACCAAATACATGTTGAACTTTATAATTATACTATCACACATAATGAAGCCTTATAGGAATATGGATTTGCATGACTGCAAGGTTACTGGGTCAGGTTAGTCTTATGAAATAT